TTTTGTTGTTGTTCTTTTTCAAATTTGCTTGCTGGTTTTTTTTTCCAAATGTTTTGTACTTTCCTTATTACTTCATTCTTGTGAAAAATTTTTCTTTAATAGATTTAAGCAGAGCTACTTTATAATCTTTCTGAGAATATTCCTTTTTCTGGGGTTCTAATTCTTCTATTAGTTGTATATCTGATTTTCCCATAGTGTGGATTGTTTCCATGTGGATTATTGTGAATCATGAATTTATTTTCATTGGGGAATTGTTTTTCCCCTCGAGGGATTCCACACAGCATGGCTTGTGGGAGTGTCCTCATAGAGAAGTTTGACTTTGCCTTCTGCCAGGAAGGTTCTCTAGCCATATCGCTGACAGGGGACAATATTTTACACTCATTTCTTAACTATGTGTATATTATAAATGCAGACTCTAAATATACATGTGGTGAAGGCTTAGTGTTTTGGTTTCTTCCAAGAGACATTCTTTCCCCTCACAAGCCCCTTGTCTTTTGCCTGGCTTGCCCAGCAGAGCCTGTCTCTTCTTCCCTGAGGGTGTAGTAACCACTGAAGGCTCCTAGTTTCATGCAGGACTCTCAGCGCCAATGTCCTGCCTTGTACGACCCTGCTGCCTGGGTGTGGACCCATCTCCAAGCCTGAATGATGAGAAGGAAACAGCCATGAAAATGGAAAGACATTCAAGACTGGGGAAATAAGCACGAAGGCTCTGCACGCGGCTCTCAAGGGAGACGGTGGTGGCAGATGCAGCCATCAAAGGCTTCCTTCCGGCTCCAAGAGCAAAGTTCAGGAGGACTGGATGGGTAGCCTCTTAACAAGTCAGTATCGGTGGGTGGATCTTGGAGCAATCTAGTAATTTTTTATCCTTGGGCAAGTTTCCCTTTCTCATTTTTGTAGTAAGAAATGTCACACAAAAAGATGTTGGGTTTGCAAGGGGACAGTGCTGCCCCATGAACCATGCCTCCTGGTATTTTTGTCCTGTGTTCTCCCCTCTCTTGGAATCTGGTAGGATCTATGATTTGCTTTCACTAGTGGAATGTGGTGGAAATTTTATTGTGCCAGTCCCACTCTGATGTGAACCTCAGGTATCAAGTTAGGATGTTGTGTGCACGTGTGTGTGTATGACAGAGGACAGAGAGAGATTGAGAGAGACTGAAAGAGAGAGAGAGAGAGAGAGAACCAGACGTATAAAGATGGAGAGACTCAAAAAGAATATTTTCCTGGCGCTAAAAAGCAGATGTTTTTTTTAAAGCAGTTATTTTTTTTAAACTATTATTTACCTTCTTTTTTTAATATTTTTTATTGTTATGTTAATCACCATACGTTACATCATTAGTTTTTGATGTAATGTTCCATGATATTTACCTTCTTCTTTATCACTCCTCCCAGCACCTTAGGAACCTCTATTTTAGGGTTGGGAGCCAGAGGGAAAGGGGGTGGTTTCCCTCCCGAGCCCATGGAAAGGCTGAAGCTGCTGCTGACCTCACAGTCAGTCCAGGCATCAGACGGGGCTAGGGTCACAGGTGCAAATGGAAAACAGACCATTCCCATCCATTCTGCTGTAAGTAACCTGAACGAGAAAACACATGGAAGTGGAAATGGCCAGGGAAAACATGTGACTCAGGCACCGGGCTCCGGGTCTGCAGGGCAGAAAGAGGGTAGGGAGGACGGAATGACTATGTTTGTCTCAACTCTGAGCAGCGCGCTTGCAGCCTTACGTGGTGATTCCTTCTGCCTGGGTGGGTCCTCCCAGCGGCCAGACTCCAGGATACATCTTTTTCTGGGCCAAAAACCCTTAAGCTATATCCCCGTTAGTGGATAGGGGCAAAGAGGTGGAGCTTCTCAGTAGCAGGATGTTTGGAAAAAGACAAGGAAGTTGAAGGCAGGCGTCAACGTCTCCCAAAGTTCTTTCTTAAAATACATTGTGTTTGGCTTCAAGGCTGCTGACTCACACCCCCCCACTCCCCATCCGGGCATTCCATCCTGGGGCTACTCTAGCCTCCAGAGGGCCTGGGGAGACCAGTTCATTTCCCACCTCCAGTATCCACTGAAACATCTGCTTTAGCTTATTAGAGAGTCAAAACAAGCAACTGTCAACCCATCATCATTTCCACTGGAGGACACATTCCTCTCGGCTGATGCGTGCCCCTCCCCAGTACCCCCTACTGCCTGCGTGTCTGTGAGACTGGGAGCTGATTCCGATGATAAATGGAAGCGCCTCTCACATCCTCGTTTATCTAACCTCCTCACGCAAATAGTGAGACTTCTCTTTGGGGAGTCGTGGAATGACTTCTGACTCACTGGGTCAGCAGTGGGCCCTGGACACGGGGAGCAGAAACCCGGATCTCCAAGCCCATTGCACCCCCTTCTCTTCCCCTGCAGGGAACCCAACAGGGTGGAAAGCAGTCTACCTGAGTCACCAGCAGACCCACACTCCCCCTGCAGTCCTGGTTCCTTAGCCTCCTGGGGCCCCAGGGTCCTCTTCCACAAAATGGGTACAGTAATACCTATGTTGCCAGCCAGGCAGGGATCCTGCATGGTCCGAATGGAATCCCGGGGTAGGAAGGCATCTTAAAGAGTCTCTGAGGCTTACATTTCCTCCTGTAATAGCACCACCAACAACCTACACTTGAACACTTTCTGTGACAGGGAACTCATTCCCACAGAGAGTCAGGTATGCTGTGAGATAGCTCTGATTTGTTTTCAGCTGAAAACTGCCTCCTTTGCCATTCTACCAGCTGTTTCTTCTCCATGTGGGTATACGGAGACAAGGTGAGCCCCTTTCTGGAATAGCTTTCAGATATCTGGACATGTACTGCATCCCAATATAGACGGAGCAGTCCCTAAGTCCTCTCCCCACTAGGCTAAGCCTTTCCCCTCACTGTCATGGTTACTGCTCTCCAAAGGCATGTCAGGTCATTTATGACCCTCACAGTATCCTTTCTGGACCCGAATGTGGTGTTCAGAATGGTCTGAAAGGGGGAGCGGGAACTGGGACATTTACCTCTCTTGTTCTAGATGCTACACCTCTATTAATGCAGTTGACCCTCCATTAGCTGCCTTGGTGGTTCTTAGTGGTTAGCACCTCCTCTACGATCTCAGCTGTGAACACCTAACTTCCTGATGACCACCTCTCTCTGTCCAGCTCATTTTACCTTTTATCCAACTCAGTCATTCTTTTTTTTTTAAATATTTTATTTATTTATTTGAGAGAGAGCATGAGAGATAGAGAGCACGAGAGGGAAGAGGGTAAGAGGGAGAAGCAGACTCCCTGCTGAGCAGGGAGCCCAATGCGGGACTCGATCCCGGCACTCCAGGATCATGACCTGAGCCGAAGGCAGTCGCTTAACCAACTGAGCCACCCAGGCGCCCCCAACTCAGTCATTCTTGAACCTCATTGATAATGCATGTCACGGTCCCCTATCCTCCCCACAATGTCGTCATGTCCCTTCTTACTCAGCACAGACCTCAGGACACATCACCATCATCAGCCCCTTGAATATACTTGCAATTCTTTTTTTCTCTCTTGCCTATCAAAATCCCAACCCTGATTAAATCCTACTCTCTACCTCTTCCTGTCCTGCATCCAGACAGTTGAAACTGGCTAGAGAAAAACATGGAAATTGGTTAAATTCATGCCCAGTGATCTGCGGGGGGTCCATGGGGCCATCCAGCAATCATCCCCTAGCGCCCTAGTTTGGACCCTGCAGGTCAAACCTTCTCCAGCCTTAAACCTCCACCACTTGCACCCCTATCGTCACTCTCAGTGGATGACCTTGCCCTCAATCAGTGGGCCTCCACACACCCCCACCTCAAATACCCACCTGCCTGCACCTGTGCCCAGTGCTCCTCCCACCCCCAGTCCCTGTGGCCGGGCCTCTGTGCTCCTATCTAAGGCTAAGCCCTCCAGGTGTGCACCAGACCCTCACCCTCTCACTTACTCAGGAACTTTGGCCCTCCTAGCCCATACTCCCTTACTAATTTCTTCTTTTCTATAAGGTCCTTCCCATCCGATGTAACTACAGTATTATTTTCTTTCATCTTAAAAAACAACTATAACAATAAAATGCTTGCTTCTTATCCCCAGATAGGGACACCAGATAAGGAGATTTACAAGCTCAGTAACCTGCTCCACGACATCACAGACCTAGAGGTGGTGGGGTAAAGAGTCAAATCCAATTTTCCTGCCCCCAAAGCTGCAGAGGTCAGAGCAGCGCTCTCCCCAGCCCACTGCTTTGGTTTGAGTGGCTGAGCACAGGCAAAGGAGGCCTTTGCCAAGGACGCCCAGCCAGCCCTGCCATGACCTGCGCAAGAAAGGCTGAAGGTTTTCAAGTGACTAGGGGACTTGCTGGGTCTGCAGGGGCCTGCTGAGTTGCCAGAACTCTGTCTTGACTGACTTGCCTGTCAGACTAAACATGGGTGGGGGGAGGGGCTGTTTCCAGAACTCCATCCCAGTCAGTACCATGCCAGCCACAGCAGGGTGTACGGGTGGCCATAATGGCAGACAGATGGGGCAGGTGAGGGGGGCAGAAGCTGCCAATTATCACACACCCCAGTGCACAGATAAGACCTCATAAATCTTGCAGGCCCACAGCCCGTGTGGCCTGCTCCGGTGGCTCATTAATGCTGTCCGGTCCTCACGTACAGGTGGAAAATGACAGCTCATGTGGCAAGCTGCCTTCCAAAGCCAGTTTGTCAGAAGGGTACACTTCTTTTCTCCACCACTCACCACATCCCTGTTCATGCCAAGAGCCCAGAACAGCTCAGCCAAGGGGGTTTCTTCCTGGGATGTCAGACACTTAACCACCACCCAGTCATGGGCCTTCAGTCATCGACCCTCTTCTCTCCCCTCCCCGCTCTCAAAGATTCTCCCACAGAACAAACCCATTGGCTTTGCATCTGCCAGAGACATGGGGTCAAGTTGCAATTTTCAGACCACCCAGAAAAGCACGCATCTCCAACCTCTTGTTTGTTCAAAAGGAACAGGCCGACCCACGTACTTGTCCGTCACAGCCTGCATGAACTCGTCCAGCAGGTCGTCATACTCCTTGCCACGCACGCGTTGGTGTTTCAGCCCGATGTACAGAGGGTCTCTGAGCAGCTCCTGGAATAGATGGCATCTGTTTGCTCAATGGTCCTGGGTTAGTGGGAAGGACCAGGGAGATGAAGGGAGGAGGGAGCTGGAAGTGGGCTGTGGACCCCGCCTCACCAGCTGTCATCTCTGGAAGGGTCTGGAAGCTAAGCCATTGAGTGAGGTGGGACTCTTAGGTGGTTCCAACTTTAGGAACCAAGGATGCTTTGATACAGAAAATCCTCTCAGACATAGCCTTCCAAACCCTGGCTGCAGGCGCTCTGGGTTTATTTTAAGGTTTTTCAACAGTGGGGCTATTGACATTTGGGCTTGGAATTCTTGGATGGGAGGGCTGAACTGCACACTGCAGAATATTTAGCAGCATCTTTGGTCTCTATCCACTAGAAGTCAGTAGCACCCCCAGTTGTGACAATAAAAAAAGTCTCTAACCACTGCCAAATGTCTATTTGGGGGTTAGAACTGCCCCTGATTGAGAACCCCTCCAGGCAGCATCTGGATTGAGGTATTGGGTCTTGTCCAAAGCCACTGATCTGGACTCGAATGAGAAAACACTTTATTCACTCAAAGAAAACTTACTGAATACCTACCATGTGCCTGGCATTGCGCTAGTCCTTGAGGGTACAAGGACAGAATGTCCAACCAGAGATTGCAGTTCAAGAAAGATGCCCACCCGAATACCAGCCTGTGTTAGGTAACCCCCCCACAACTCCACCTCCTGCAGCTCTGTCACAGAGCTCACACACTTCTGTGTCTGCCCCTGGCCACCTCCACACCACCTCTCTACCCTCTCACACATACACCCTGCACAGAATCAGTGGACCCAGTCACACACGTTTATGGATCATCCATTACTGCTGATATTGGTCCCCGCTGGGGATTTGTAAATGAGTAGGGAATGGTTGTTGCCTTCCACGTGCCCACGGTCTATTGCAGGGGGCTAATGAGTAAACAAACTCTACTACAGTGCAGAATGATAGGCTTTGGTACGAAGTGTGGTGCATGGAAGGACCGAGAAGGAGTAAAGTAATTCCCATTGGGGGACAGGTGGTGATTGTCATGAGGAAATGACCGATCATTAAAAGATGGGCAGATTCTGGGGGCGCATGAGTGGCTCAGTCGGTGAAGCATCCAACTCTTGATTTCTGCTCAGGTCATGGTCGCAGGGTCATGAGATTGAGCCCTATGTTGGGCTCTGTGATGGGGTGTGGAGCCTGCTTGAGATTCTGTCTCTCTCTCTCTCCCTCTGCTCCCCGTCCCCACCATTGCACACACACTCTCCCTCTCTCTTTCTCAAAAAAAAAAAAAAAAAAAAAAAAAAGATGGGCAGGTTTTGACAGGTGGGTTGGGCCCTCCAGGTGGGGAAGTCAGCACAAAGAAGGGCTGAGGGCTGGAGGCAGACAGAAGAAGATGTACCTGCTGTATTTAGGAAACAGGAAGTAATTCCATGTGTGAGGGTCTCCAGGAGTTATCTATTTCATCAGAACAGGAGCTCCTTGAGGATAAGCGTCGGTGTTACCCTCATCTCTATCTGAACCGCAGGACGCAGAGGTAAGGACCCCACAGCCCCGCCCTCGAGGGGCTTCCATTCACTCGGACCCCCATCCCTGACCCTCCATGTGACCTTGGGCAAATCACAGGACCCCTGGGACCTGTCTTCTCTTTCCTCAAATGGGGAGGAGATGCCAGCTGCAGGGGGTGCTTGGGATGATGACATGGAATAATACGGGAAAGAGCTTTATGCATTATAACACATGCTATAAAGTAACGGCTGCAGCTGTAGCTTCCATGGTGCTTCCTATGTGCCACATATTAAGGACCGTTCTAAGTACTCCTATCTCCCCTCTGGTGGGACAGCCATGGAAGTGTGCGGCTCAGAACTCCCTGAAGAGAACCTGCTGAGGGCGGGGAGGTGGGCCGACAGCCTTCAGCCGCCACCTCCCCCTGGGCGGCTCCCAGTCCTGGCTGAACATGACGAGGTCAAGGGCGGCCCAGGGCTGCCCCACCAGCCCTCCTGCGGGTGACCTTTGCTCGGGGCCTCCCGTCACCCTGCCCAAGGCTTTCCCAGGACCCCACTTTGGGCTGGGCTCTTGTGACTGAGGTCTCTGTCCTCCTGCCTCTCCTGTCACAGGTCTCGCACCTGCACTGGGGTCTGAAGCCCTTACCCACTTGCCAACTCCTCCTGCCCCCCCTTTATTCTTCACGGGGGTCCCCCAAGAAACCTTTCACACCTCTGTTTCTGGAGGGGCCCAAGCAGACACAAAGGTAGGTCTTGCAATTTCCCCCATCTGACAAATGAGGCAATGGGGCACGGAGAGGTGAAGCAAGCTGCCCGGTCCCCGGGCTAGTACGGGGAAGAGTCGGGAGTCACAGCGAGGCTGCCTGGCTCCAGCGCCCACGGTCGCTGCCACAAAGCCCTACCGCGTGGGTGGCTCGTTTGCACATCAACCAGAATGGACTCCATTTTTGTTAAAGACGCTGCTCTAGATCAATACTGTCTTGACGGGGCTGTGGAGGTGGAGGTCGTTGTGCAGAAGTGTAGGGGACAGAAAAGAATAGGCAGGATCTGCCTTCCTAAACCCTCAGCTCCAGTTCTCATGCACATCACCTGAGGCACCTCGGGTCTATGTTAAGCAAGAGGCCTTTCGTTTCTCACTCCCTTCACCCCTGGGCAATCCCTCCTTGAGACAGGTTAGGATTCTGCCCTGGCAGGTGTGTGTATTTGCAAGACTGAAGGATGACAGGGGGCACATCGGTGCCCACCCTTCACGTGCCACCTTCAAGGTGACCCTCTGAAAGCCACTTAGAGGCAGCAAACATCCAGCTGAGGGCAAACCATGAATGTTGTGATGACTTGATAGAAAGCTAGGCAGTTAGGGACGCCTGGGTGGCTCAGTTGGTTGAGCATCTGCCTTCAGCTCAGGTCATGATCTCAGGGTCCTGGGGTTGAGTCCCACATCGGTCTCCTTGCTCAGCAGGGAGCCTGCTTCTCCCTCTGCCTGCCGCTCCCCCTGCTTGTGCTTTCTCTTTCTCTCTGACAAATAAATAAAATCTTTTAAAAAAAGAGCTAGGCAGTTATTAAAATTGGTGGTTTTTAAGACTATGCAGCCACCTGGACTGACATGTAGGAGATTACTGAAAGTGAGAAAAGCAGGATACAAAACTACACAGATGTAACTTCAACTCTCTGAAGCACACACAGCCCAGAGGGCATGCAGAGAAATGATAAAAAACAGTATCACTGCTGGCACCCGCAGAAAAGATTCACATTTTTAGTTCTTATAAGAGACTTCCAGGGGCCACAGTGAGTTGTAACTTGTAATGTTGCCAAGTGGCTGATTTGGATCACTGGTACATCAGACAGCGAAAAGCAAATTTCTCAGTGTTGCATGTCCGGTTTGTGGGGCAAATCAGATTCTCCAGGAATACTGAGGAATTTTTTGATTTTCCAAAAATTTCTCAGTATATCTGCATTTAAAGTCAAAGACCAACTATAAAGAGGTACTACTGAGATAGAAGGATGGCTATGAAAGCTTTAGAACATTCCTTATATTTTGCTTTTATATTAAAATTATGCCTGAAATACTTCATACCTAAGCACACACACACAAATTGGAAAGAAACTTTCTATATGGAGATAATACTAAAAAAGAGCTTCTTCTCTTTGTATTGAACTTTCAAATAATTCACTCTTGAATCAAAAGTAATGTGATCCTTCCACCTTACATATTGTCATCCCATGCTATAGACGAGGAAGGTGAGCCAAAAAGTGGCTGAGCTGAAACTGAGCCTTGCTTTGCCTGGATCTCATGACAGTGTCCTTTCCCCCCAATATTCCATGTTGTGGGGACCAGGTGACCTGGGGGTGGCTCCTCACCCTCGCCCGGTCCTCTGAAGGCACTCAGTCATGGCAGGGAAGGTGCAGGCTCTGATCCTGCAGAGGAGGCTGGGGAGCAGGGACAGCAGGGCAGAAGCCAAGTCCCCATCGCCAGCCAGTGGACCTCCTCTGGCAGCAGGGATAATGGCTTCTCCAGAGCAGCACAAGGTGGAGCACTCACGGCTGTCTTGGCACGACGCAAAACAAGAAGTCCCCATCCTGCTCACTGTCCCACTGAGTGACGCAGCCATCAGAACAGCCGCCAGCAAGGTGTGGGACCCTTAGCTGGCCTGGACTCTCTCCTTGTGGCCCTCCTCTATCTTTGACTTCCTTACATAAATGCTTCCTTACATAAGTGCTAAACACACTTAGAAGTGTTTAGCAGCAAGTATTGCCAGATAAAATACAGAACGCCTGGTTAAATTTGAATTTCAGATAGGCAAGATTTTTTTTTAGCCTATGTCCCAAGTTTTGCATGGAGCATACATGGGACATATGCAAAAATGCAATTAGCTATTTATCTGAAATTTAAATTGAGCTGGCATCCTATAGTTTCCTTTGCTAAATCTGGTAGCCCTATCAGGAGAAGCAGAAGGAAACTTGAAAGCTGGCAGGCAGTGTCTTCAGAGGGAAGAGCACTGCCTGGCTGGGTGGCCCTGCTCAGGATGCTCCCTCTGAGCGCCCTCAGTATGGTCTGGCTTTAGAGTCAGAACGGGGTCTGGGCTTTGGAGATGAACAGACCTGGTCCGAATTTAGGCTCTGTCGCTTAGGTCTGTGACTTTGGGTTTTTCTTGGAGACAAAATGTCATGAAAAACAAAAATGGTTTCCTCCTCTTCACTTGCCCTCTCACTCCCTGAGCACTGGCTTTAAACTGGAAGACAGATGAAGCTTCTGGCTGGGAAAAATATTTACCTCATGTAGCAACAGGCACACGAAGAAGTTACTCAGGAAGCATCTGGGGGTCTGGGGAGGTCCTGGGATTGGGTTCATGCTGTGGACACAGCACACGTTCCCCCCTCAGGGTGGGGGGTATGCCTACCGCACATGTCTTTGGGGGCTCAGTTAAGCCCAGGGATCAGCTACAAAGATCCTAGGAGGGGCACCTTCAAAGGTCATGTGCATACAGAGCGAGTGCATCTGACGGCACCACAGGGTGGGTGCGGGCTGTTTATCAGCTGCAGGAACGATGCTCTTACGAGGTGGACACAGCCTTTCAAGCCCAGCTCTGTTGGCAGCCCCACGCTTCCCCAGGACTCCGGCAGCACCCCCAGGGATGGCCTGCTGGGCTCTGTGGACAGTCTGTTCCCATGTCTCCCCAAGAAGACATCCCCCCATTAGAACCCATCAAGGCTCAAGACTTCTGCCAAGAGAAGATCGTTAAGGCTCGGGGGCCATTTTAAAGCCAAGCCCCGGGGTTGCCCTGCAGGACCTGTCATGTGGAGTGGCATGAGCATTGGGCTTGGAGTCAAACCTGGAGCAAGCCATTTCTGCTCTGTGCCCCTTCTCCTGGGTGAAATGAGGGGTCTCAATGAGAAGTATATCTGACCCTTGAACAACAGCTTTGAATGGCACAGGTCCACTTATCTGTGGATTTTTTTCGATAAATACAGTACAGTGCTCTAAATGTATTTTCTCTTGTGATTTCTTTTTTTTTTTAAGATTTTATTTATTTATTTGAGAGAGAGAGAGAATGAGAGATAGAAAGCATGGGAGGGAAGAGGGTCAGAGGGAGAAGCAGACTCCCTGCTGAGCAGGAAGCCCGATGTGGGACTCGATCTCGGGATTCCAGGATCATGACCTGAGCTGAAGGCAGTTGTTTAACCAACTGAGCCACCCAGGCGCCCCTTCTCTTGTGATTTCTTAATAACACTTGCTTTTCTCCAGCTTACTTCATTGTAAGAGTACAGTATATAATCCATACCACACACACGATATGTGTTAATTGGCTATTTACATCATCAGTAAGGCTTCCAGTCAATAGTAGGCTATTAGTAGTTAAGTTTTGGGGACTGAAAAGTCCTATGTGGATTTTCAACTGCGTGGGTATCAGCACCCCTCACTCCTGCGTTGTTCAAGGGTCAATTGTAGCTCAGGTCCCTTCAAACGTGGACAGTCTGTGACGCTGTCTGGCTGCATGTGGATGAAACAAAAGACACAAACCAATCCACGCACAGCCATGGAGGACCCCAGCAGGTGGGCCTATCTGGGGGGGGCTTTGTCCCTTTGGAACTTAATCATGGGATATCCCCTCTTCATGGGATTGCTGCCCCACATATTTATTTTTCCAAACCTCCTTGGGGTCGGCAGGTAACAGTGACTCAGAGTTTCAGGGCTGTCGACAGCAGATGTTTTCCTTCAACAGGAAACGTGGAAGGGTGTTTTCCTTGACTCTGATTAGAGCTCCTGTTGCCCCAGGAGTTTTCACAGAGGCACGCGCGTGTACACACACACACACACACACACACACACACACACACACACGGTCTTGATAGCCTGACACTCCAGCTCCTTAAACAGCATGCTTCCTGCACGGACACGTAGATGAAAGTTGCAGGGTTAAGCCTCTCTCTCCTATTGCTCTGGCTTGCTCTGGGGGAGAGATGTGCCCCAAGACTTCCAAGGAGGCGGGAAGCTTGCAATCCTTTTTTTTTTTTAAAGAACTGTAGTGTGGGAAATCACATAGTGAATGCATTTGGAAGAGCGAAACCACCGTCTTCCCAATGTTGGCCACTTTGTAAGTCTGGATTTTTGTGTCTTGAATTTTGTGAAGAGGGTCTGCGGGGGGTTCGCCTTTCTTTGGGGCGGGAGGACCGTGCTCATGGCATCGGTAACCTCTGGGCCTGGGCGTCCATGGGGCCCCCGCCTGCGTGAACCACCACCTTTCCTAGTCTTCATCACCCAGTCTGTAACACAAAGGCCCGGCCCCTTGAAGCGGTGCGCCACGGTGGACAAGGCACCTCGGAGCCAGAGAGGTTCAAACCCTGGCTCTGACAGCGCTGTGGGGCCTGAGGGGAGTTGTTCCCGTGTGTGGGTCTCAGGTTCCTCATCTCACACAGCCTGGGGGAGAGTGAGATGAGATTCAAATCCACAGAGGCCTCGAGCTATGCCTGGCACACCGCAGCGCTCGGAGCTGCTTTCTCTCCGCCTGCCCGCGTGGCGTGGCAGGGACGGCACCTGCCTTCAGCGCGCGTTCCCTTCTCTGAGCTGGGGAGTACTCTGGTCCTTCCTGATGGGGGGGGGCAGACCCAGGGGACGCTCTCTCTTCCACACCCAGGAGGGAGAAGTGATTCAGAGGCCTAAAGCCCCAGGAGGAGAAGCAGACACTTGGAGGAGAAGGAACACATTATCCCCTTCCACGGGATATAGTGGCCTTAGAATCAGACCCAAACTTGCTTAGAGTCAGCTTTTAGGAGAGAGTGAGTAAAGGTCTCAATTAAATCCCACTGGAACACAGCAGGAGGAATTGGATGGGAAGAACAGCTAAAACAAAGTTCACTACACTCATCCTTGCCTGCATGTTGGGACCAAAGAACCATTTCTGCAAGACCCAGGCATCTGGTCTGGGGAAGAGAACCACAGCATGCAGCAGACCTTGAAGACTTTTCTTGCCATCCTGCCTCCTGTCTCCTAGGCTGGAGGGGAGGCAAGTGGAGAAGAGCTTTGGAGGCAGAACACTCAAAAACCAGTCCAGTTCCTCATCGTAGCGGAAGGGGCTCAAGTCTGAATAGGTGCGGGGACTCAGCTGGCTGTCCGTGGTGTCAGGACCAGGGTGCCCACTTCCCAGGCCAGTCCTTCTCCCACTACGCTTGTCCTCCCTCACCCCACTCCCACGCCCACAATTTTCCAGCTCTTAAGCGAGGTCTGCCTGGCTGTCCTCTCACTTGATGGCATCTGTGGCTGAAGACTGAATAAGTATCATTCCTTGCGAGGAGCCACAGTGCTCGTTCTCGTTTAGAAATGGGGATGTATTGTGTCCAGGGAGGAGGATGGCCATGCAAAGAGTCATGGCAAGTATCTTGAGAAAGATCACTGTGGAATGCGAGTAAGACAAGCTTTTGGACCATATGAATCAAGAATCTAGAAGACCACTCCCTTTGCCTCAACATTTCTGTTTCTAGGACATAATCACAAGTAGAAACAAAGACTGATCTGCAAAAAAATGGGCTCAGAGTAAAACTTATATTTGCAAAAAGCTGAGAAGCAACCTGAGTGTCCAGCTGTGGGAGGTTTCCTCTGTAAACTGTGACACCCCAGAGAGCGGACATTGTGCAGTAATGGCTAATGACTTGGGAGAAAACTCACCATATATACTAAGTTTTAAAAGCAGGATACAAAACTATATATTCAAACCCAATTTTGGTTTTATAAATACTTTGTGGTGGGGGGGGAAGGCTGGAAGGAAATATATCAAAATGGAAAGTATGATTAGTACTGATGTATAACTGATATTTTTTTTAAGTTTTTTTTAATGTTTTTATTTATTCATGAGAGTCAGAGAGAGAGAGAGAGAGAGAGAGAGAGAGAGAGGCAGAGGCAGAGGGAGAAGCAGGCTCCCCGCCTAGCAGGGAGCCCGATGCGGGACTCGATCCGAGGACCCTGGGATCATGACCTGAGCCGAAGGCAGACGCTTAACCATCTGAGCCACCCAGGCGCCCTATAACTGATATTTTTAACACCTCTCTGATTTTCTGGTTTTTTTGCCATTTTAAAAAAGATGAATTTGCACAGATTTTAAACTCAGAGATGCATGTCATTAAGAAGGAATTCTTGGGTAGTTTTTTGTCTTCTCTGACACAGGGACCCAGAACGGAGCCTGCAGATGCACACAAACCCTGTGTTCCAGGGCAGTACCCAGAGCAGCCAAATTCTTGCCTGTGGTTTGAGCTCCTTAAATCCCAAACCATCTGGCATCTGTAGGTGGATCTCACCCACAGCTTGGAGCATGTTTTCTCCCTGGGCTTGCAGGACACTCATCTGGCTGATTCAGATATTTCAGCCCCTGGCCCTGGTGCTTTGGGTTTTAATTCTTTCATTGAGGCAGCCTACCTCTACAATGCTGAAAAAATACTGCCCAGCAGCCTCTTCTGCCTGGATCAAGGGACCCTCCTCACTACTGAATCAGAGAGAGGCCTCTGAGGGCAGTCATGGAGTGGGGAAGGACACAAGGCCCAAGCTGGGGTCATGGAGGGCACAGAGGGCCTTGAGGAGGAAGGGGAGCCAGGAGTCCCTGTGGCTGGGGGGGGGGGGGGGGGGGGGGTGGGGAAGGGAATGGGCTGGGCAGGCAGGGAGGAGAAAGATCCCCACCTCTCAGCCATGCAGGGGAAGTGCCCTGGCGAAGGGGACCCAGGAAAGAAATGTCCCAATGCTTTACAGATATAACTGCCCCTTTCAAAGATGCCCCAACCCCACTCCAGCTGTCAGCTTCTGGCCCCAGGGCTCCAGGCCCAGGTGGTGCGTTACCTCATTGTTGGTGCCGACATCCAGCAGGACGGGGAGGCACTGCTGTGGGCTGACCCCTCCGCACGCCGTGTACAGGGCCAGCTTGCCCACGGGGATGCCCATGCCGTAGCAGCCCAGATCTCCCAGGCCCAGGATGCGCTCCCCATCAGTCACTACCACGGCCTGGAAACAATCAGGGAAGAGCCTCTTGTGACAAAGTGCTCATTTTATCACCCCTCCTGTGTTGGGCTTGACAAGTGGACGCCCACCTCCTCTGCTGGGGGCGGAACGCTGGTCGGGGAAAAGGCCAAGGGATTCATTCCATTGCAGGTGGCAGTCCTTCTCCCTGTCCCCCATCTTGGCAGGCTGGTGAGAAGCCCCACCGAGCTGGGCGGACACCTTATCCCGCATTCTGAGATTTGCAGCAGGGGCTGCAGAAACAGCTGGAGGGAAACCACATCTGGTCACTCTCCCTCAAAGAAACTAAGCAGATATTCCCAGCTTGAGATCTGGGCGCAGGACCATAATGAAAGGAGACCCTGAGGGACAAGTGTTCATGCTGCTGCCACAAGCCCACGGTTTCGAGGCTGATGGAAGTGCCCTCCGCCTGCTCCTGGGGTACAGTAAGTCCAACCTGCAAAGGGCAGGGCTTCTGTGACAGTGGCTGGGGTCACCACTTCCCAGGAACCCAGGAGGGTTCTCCAGCTGTGCTGCAGTTACCGTGTGCTTTGACAAATAATCACTGGAGGCATACTTCGTGCTAGTTCGGGGCTTGCTTGCTGTTAATTAACAGATGCTGAAGAAGCTGATGGTGATAGAAATTACCATGATTTTGATAGATATTCATTTATTCATTCCTTTACTACATATTTATGAAGCACCTACTTGGCAGACACTATGCCAGATCCTGGGAGAAGGGGCATCACTTTGCTCATTTGTAATAACAAGTCTGTATGGATTCAGGCCTTAAAGAACTAAGGGGCAATAAAAAGAGATGAAACATGTCTACTTATAATTAACGACTCTGGGAGGAAAGTGAGGGTAGTGGAGCAGCACGAGGGCAGCTGAGACTGAGAAGGGAGAATTGCTTCCTGTAGGGTAACCCTTTGTAAGGGTGAGGGCACACAGGAGAAGACTGTCCGCAGGGATCCAGCTGGGGAGGAAGGTACTTGATGCAAAAGGAAATTCGGATGCAGGACAGAGGTGGGAAGGGTGTGGGCTGTGTGTGGGGAATGAGGAGGTGCAGTCGCATGAAAGGAGAGAACGGAATGTCAGGCAGGAGTCAGACGGGGAAGGGTCTTAAAAGTCAGGCCACAGAAATCCCCTCGGTGACAGTGAAGTTGTTTATAGGTCACCCTGACCTGTTCACCATCACTGCCTCCCTCCATCTTGAAATGAGTTCTGTTTAGGGGCTACCCATCACTCCACTGGAGCCTGGCTTTGACCAGGGCTTAGGACCAGCTCTGAGCAATGGACGTCCCAGTGCCCCAAGTGTGGTGCTCCTGGGCATCACGGGGCTCAGCTTAATCCATGCAGGCACACTAAGCCCTGGGAATAAAGAGATGAAGATCCATTCTTGCCCTGGAAGAGTTTATGGCCCATGGCATCTTATCATTTCTATTCTCCAGCTCTCTAAGAGTAAGAGCACACAGAGGTGCCACCTTTCAGTAGAAACAGGTATAGAGATTCTTAAAAACACTCCTCCACTTCTGGAAAGGGGACTTGCGGGGGGCAGAGCAAGAGACCCATGATGATCATGATTTTCCCCCTCAGACTATCTACTGCCTCTATGGAGAGTGTTCTCAACCCACATGCCACCTGATTCTCCCCACAGCCCTGGCAGGTGGGTGAGTCTGAGATTGTTATCCCCATCTCACAGGTGAGCAAACAGAAGTTCTAAGACCTTCATGTTTTATATACATGTGTTAAGTGTCAGCCAGGCACTGGATTGGATGTTTCCACATGAGGTATCTTAGAAAGATTAGATGGCCTACCAAAGTCACCTTGCTTGTGCACGTGGCAGGTCAGGATTCTAATCAGGCTTTGGGTTCCTGGCTCCGGGCTCCTTCTACCACCACTGCAACTGGGTTAAAGCTCCTGTGCTCTTGGTCACCTTCTGCCCTGCCTCTGACCTCCCCCTGGGGGAGCCTGTGCTTTCATGCTGCCCAGACTCAGGGCATTTCTCTACCATTTCTCCTGATCAAAGCTTCCTTATTCCAATTCCTATTCTCTCAGAATTTCTCTCCATTGAAGGGCAGTGAGTTAACCAGAGGAGGTCGGCTCCTACTCCAGGGTGTTATCCTTACAACTCTGGGGCATTTCCAGATGGTAACGGGGCTCTGCAGTGCTGCCCTCCCAGCCTGAACCGTGCAAGGGCCCTCTCCTGCACGGCTGCCTCCTCACTTCCATCTGCCACCCTCTCTCCATTACTCAGTGCTATTGGCTGGATTATTACAACAGCTTCACGACCAGACTCATCTTTCCTCCTTCCAGTCTCTCTGCATGCATTGTGTCAGAAACCCATTTTCATCATGCCATTCCCAGGCTCAAAGACCCTGAATGACTTCGAACTGTCCATAGAATAGAGTCCAAAACATTTAACACCTTAATGATCTGAACCCAGTATATGTTCTGACTTAGCTCTTGCTACTCATTTGCACACAAGTGCCTACTCCAGCCAAACTGACCTCACTCCTCCCAGACGTCCTCTGAACTCACGTATGATCTCCTCCCTCTTAGCCCCCATGGTCCTCTCTCCTAGAAGGTCCTCATCCAGCATGCAAACCCTGCTCCATGACAATCTAATGCGATTTCTCCTAGCACCTGTTAGGGCTACCACACAGCTAGCCTGTTCACTCTTCCTGCCTGCCTGCCTGCCACAAACATTAACTAAGTACCTACTGCTTGCAACCCCTGCATAAGGTGCTGCTTAAACATTTGGGTTCTTATTTAACATTTTTAAAAATGCACATTTTATCTCACCAAACAACCTAAAGATTAATGGCAGGGGTTCTGGAGTCTAATAACCAGTATTTAAATTTAGGCTCCTTGATAATGCACCATATGTAATCTTGGGTAAACAGATAATTTTTCTGAGTTTTAATTTTCCATAAAGTGGGGATAATCATACCTAACTCATCAGATGGTTGTAATGGTGAAGTAATATCAGTCTCATTTTAACTAGGTGCCTTGGGTAAGTGATCAATAAATGGTTACTGCTCTTATGATTATGATGATGGTTATTATATGGGGCAAAGATCCCATATTGGATTTTTAATTGTTTTATCTTCTCTCTAGTTCAGCATTATCACAGGAAGGCCATGCAGTAAGCATCTGTTCAATAAGTGAATGAAATGGAACCAAGAGGAGACCGTGGTGGCCATTGGCCAAGAAAGTCGGCCATGCAAACCTTGTGGCTCCTACTGTCCTCTCTAAGCAGACATTGCCATTTGGATGTCCAATAGTCCCCCCAAATTCCTGAGTCCCTAACCAAATGAATCTGCTTTCCCTTTATTCTTCTAAACCTTTCACTTCTGCTGTTCTCCCTCCGTTACCTCGGATTTCCCAAACTCAAATCTGTCCTGTTACAACTCCTCTCTGTCGCTTGTCAACCATAGCCAACTGGTCACCAAGTTCTGCTGATTCCATCTGCTCCTTACTTTTCCATTTGTTCCATGATCTTCACTTGCATTGTTGCTGCCTTCGGGTGAGCCCATCCATCTCATCTGACCGCCGCAATGGTCTCCTCACAGGTCCCTCCACTCTTGGATTCCCCCTGCTCCATTTCATTTTTCCAAAGCACACCCAGCTTTGCCACTTCCTTACCCCAAACCTCCAATGACTCTCGATGCCTGTGAAATAAAGCTCAAACATCTTTGACTGGCGTTTTAGGCCTTCCATGGTCTAGGTCCTAACCACTCTTTGAATTTCTTCTTTATCCAAATAAAATAATTCCAACCTTGTATAAGGTTTGTACTTTCCCGACTACATACCATTTTACCCCTCAATCCCTATGATCTCCCTGATCCAAATCCTACCATTCTTGTATGCTTCAAGGAACAGTACAAAAGTCACCTTCCTCCATGATGTTCCCTTTCCAGAAGTCATACTCCTTCCTCTAAGTTCCCATGGCATTTTCCTCGTATTATGTTAGTTAGATGATAACTTCATCTTTCATAGGAGTTCTAAGCTCTTTAGGGCAAGTAATGGGTCTTGTCATCTTTGATTCTTCAGGCACTTAGCTTGGTGCCTGCAATGTGATAGGAACTGGATAAATGGTGGCCAATATGATAGATCCAACATAGAGAGCAGAGGCTCTCCACAGGACTGCTTCATACGTGGTGTGAATGAACAAGTTCAGGGAGAAGAGGCTGGATCTTATTTTTCATGACATCAATGGAGCTGGATGCCAAGGGTCACTAGTACGGTAGAGGTCAAAATCTGAGGACAAGCCTGAGCAGGACAGTGGGGTTTTAGAGTCCAGCAGTAACTATCAGTGAACTACAGGATCACAGCTTCCTTGTTTGGATGGCATCTGCAACTCATACCTCCTCTGTATTTCAGATGACGAAGGAGGAGGGTGGGCCACATTCTTCCTCTGTCCACTTAGCTTGGACCTGCAGCCTTTTCTGCCTTACTGCCCATGTCCCTTAGCCTAGGTGGACCCAATGGGGCTGACCCCATTGCTCTAGCCCCAGTTTCCTTGCTTGCTGTAGCCCCGTGTTCCTTGGACCTGTAGTTATGTCATGGGCTACCCACAGCCCTCACCTCCTCCCTCTCTCTCATCCTTCCTTTTTTCTTCCTCTTCCTCCTCTTCTCTCTCCATGACATAAATAACACATAGTCTGCAGTTGCAAATCTTTGTTCAACCCTTCACAGGCAAACAGCCACCTTCCTTGTCTATAAAATGGGGGTAATAATAATCCTCACCACTTATAGGTCATTAGAAGTCAATGAGGTCAGATGCTGCATGAGGTGGATACAGGGATGTGCTGCCCACATCTCCCTTTCGGGACTCAAGGAGTGATTCCCTCAGCTGTGCCCTCAGGTGTCAGCCCACTTGGAGAATTTCTTTGACCGAAGAGAGCCACGTTGCCCCAAGTCACACCCTGTTCTGAAGGGCAGCAGCCCACAACCAATGACTGATGGATGCAGGGGTATAAAGGCCCAGCTCCCCTGCGCCAACTCCGTTGGACTTGGAAGAGCCATCCCAGCTCCAGAGGCTCCTCATGGGCTCAGCTGGGGCTTCCTTGAGGCCTCACTCCACCCAACCTCTCCCTAGCCTTTCTCCTGCTTCCTTCCCTTCTAGAGGTGTTGATCCCAAGAACATTCCCTGAGAGGCTAATGTCCATCTCAGAGAATGTTTCCCAGGACACCCACCTTCTGACACCGAGGACAGAGTGGGTTTAACACGTGGCGGGCCTGTGCATAACGGGCAGGCACTTGGCACCAGCACCTCGACCAAGTTTGGACGTCCATGTGGTTGATGCTCAGCAGCAGAGGCTGCTCCTGGGCCTCCCCTACCCAGCTGCCTCTCAGCACCTTCCCTCCCTCCCCCGAAGATGCTGGGCCTGGGGTGAGGGAGAGATTTAGGAGCTTGGGAAAGCGGTGGGGAGGGGGGCTGTTCTCAGCTGAGTTTTCCTCAGGCTCAGGGCAGTGGCCACTGTGGGAAAGAGTCAGAAAAGCAGTTCTCACTCCTTTTCATGATTTATGCTGGACAGCTCTGGGCAGCCTGGCCCGCCCCCCTCCTCCCTGAACAAGAGGGGCCCGCAAAACTCCACGGTACCCCCAGCCCTGGGCTTTGGCCTCACCTCCCTCCCAGCCTACTTCTCCTACACTGCAGTTTGCAGTTCTGCTTTCTGGCTGGGACACCAGGGAAAGTCACCCTTTATCTTTGGATGTGATTCAGAAGCTCCTCTGAACCACTTCTCCCCTCCAGCCAAGAGGCCGCCAACATTAGGGTCTAAAGATACCTGTGCCTTGGAAAACCGCCTCCTCGACTCAGCAGCTGGGGAGGAGGTGGCTCAGCTGCAGGGCTCTGGGGGCGTCGACACCTACTGATGGGTGACCATGGGCAAGTCACGGAACCTCAGCTTGCTCGCCTGAGAAACGACACACCCCTTTCTTCAGGACCCACTTTGGGGGCATTAGCCACACCCCTTCCTTCTCCACTCTGATCACAAGGGCTGTGAGACCCAAAGGAAATAATGAGAGGGAATCCAGCTTCAAAATACCATGAAAGGGATTCCCTGCCTAGGGAAGGAGACCTTCATCTCCTCTTTTTAGGGCAACTGGAGAAAACACACGAGCAAACAAGAAAGACTAGGACTTAGAACATTCTGAACCTTTGAAAGGTCAGTCCTAGGGGTGAGGGGGAAGGACCCTCCACAAAAGGCTGGTGGATGGGGCAGGCGGGAGACTCGGGTAAGCTGGAAGCAGCCTGAGCAGCCCTAACTGCCTTACTTACGTGCCTGACTGTGGGCCCAATATGTAGCCAAACTATGGGCTCCTGGTTTTTCTAGAGAAAGCCAGAAATCCAAGTTTGTTTGTTTCTTTTTCCAAATGAAGTCTCCTAATTTTAAAATACTGCCCTACAAATTCAAAATTTTCAAAACTCACTGAGGGCCAAGTCAAACATGTCCAGGGGCCTCATCGGCTAGCTGCCCCTTTGTGGCCCATGAGTCCCAGTTAAGAGGGCCTCCTCCTGGGGGCTCTTGGGCCTCTGCTCTCTCTGCCCTGCACTGCTGTGTGTGACATGGCCATCTCTTCCACCTCCTGCAAGGACAACACCCATTCGAGTGCCTTTCGTTGTTGTACAGACTTGATAGTTCGTCCTCACAGTAAGAGAACAATGACCAGAGAGGTTATCTGCACATGCAGCAAATGAATGGAAGATTCACGACATCTGACTGCAAAGCCAGAGCTGAGTCTTCTATATAGTTATCAGGGACTGATCTCAGCATCTCTCCAAAGTGAGACAAAAATAAACGGTGGAGGGGAGGAGGGCAGGCCCCAGGCATTCCTTCCTCAGCTCTCAGCTACTGCAGGGGGCGTGGCCAGCCAGTCAGGATGCTTGGTCCTCACCTCCTCGCCTCCGGGCTCCCCTCTTTGGCAGCACAGACACAGTCTGTGCAATTGTTTCCAGGTCAGTCTCTCCAACCAGACTTTGGGCCTGTACACCTTCTTGATCCCAGAAGCTACAGGGAAATCCTACAGATGTTTACTCAATGATCGTTGAGTGCAAAGGAATTAGATGCACTGGTCCAGATGTCCCCATGGAACCTCTGTTTTCCCGAGAGGCTTTGGATGCCTCTCTCCTTCTGAGGCTCGCTCTAGTCCCGCCTGCTCTGGGGTGACCTAAAGCTGCATTCCTCTTCCTCTAAAATCACAAAAGTGGTTGTCTCCAGCTCTCTGGTAGTTAGCACTTAGGACATAGAAGGTTCTCAAACTATGTGTAAGTCAGTCAATGAGTATTTTATAAGTTGTGCCCTGACAAAAGGAGCAGCTAGAGCCTGAAACTCAGCCCATGAGCCCCTCACTGAGCCTCTGTGCCACCCCAGAGAAAGGAGCACCTTCTTCTTACTGGTTAAGATGCAATGGCTTTTTGTTGTCCTCTTTAATTCCTCGCAGCTTGCACAGTGGCACGTGTATGTTGGTGGGGACTCCATTTCTCTGCTCCTGGCTCAGTGCCTGGTACATGGGAGATGCTCATCATGTCTGCTGCCTGAGTTCATGCACCTCAAGCGTCTACCGCATGCCCAGTCTGCACAAGCTTTCACCGTGGGTGAAGTGCCCAGGAGGGTGGACAGATCAGCTTGCACTACCTCGGCAGCCTGTCTGCACAGGGCAGGCTGGAGTTCACTGCCCATCCAGTGAGCTGGCTTCCCTGAGTGTGCTGAAGATTTTATTATAGCTTCATCTTAAACACGCCTTAGAAACTCGCTTCTTCTGGGACTGAGACCAAAACCTGCAGGGCCCAGGCCTGCACAAAACCAGAGTCTAAGCAGATAAGCAGGGCAGAAATGCCCAGGGCAAAATCACACCCAGACAGAGAGGTACGAAATGAGCTCTTCACTGTGGCCATAAAGTCCATGGGCCCTGGGTGGTTTGGGCCTGGCTCCTAAGAGCCAAGTTCCTACCTTCCTTGTTCTGGCTCAGAATGCTACCACTCCTCAGGGAGGGCCACAAGTGAGCAGGACACAGAGAGAGGTGTGCAGAGGGAAGCTGTGCTTAGTGCCTAGTGGAGAGAGACGGGGTAACTGAGGGAACTGGCAGGAACAGGGAGGGCGGGCCTGGGGAGGAAGCCATGGTGCAGTGCCTCAGCCTCCCAGTCAGCTCCAATCCTTCCCCAGCTTGGGCACCAGAAATGCCCTCGTGAAGCAGCTAGCCGGTGTTTCGCATTTTTGCTTCACCTATTTGCAGAAGCGACGATGATCTTAGACGGGAAAGCCCCTCATACTCTTCCATAGAAGTTCCCTAGCAGGAGGCGATCTGGGCATGTAGCCAGAGGCTAACAAGTTTCTACAAAGCTGCAGGTTTTATATTTCAAAACTAATATAAACTCTGCATATTATATTATATCCTGTTTACTATATAAAAATGTTTTTTCCTTAGATTATTTGAGTAAAGGCTGATATTCCAGGCAAAAGAGGCAGGTTCCTTTCTTCACTCTGCATAGAACTACCACACATCTCCCCGCCCCTCCCCCCAAACTGTGTACACACACATGAAAGTACTGTTCACCATAAACTTTGCCTCTTCTTGCAGAATGTCCCCACTCTATGTCCTACCGTCTCCAAAGCCTATCTGGCTAAACTCTACTCCTTAACTCAAGGCCCTGCTCCAATGTCACCTCTCCCACGAAGTCTTCCTAGATTCCCCTCAGGCTGAAAGTAATCTCTGCCTTTGTGAACACCCTCAGCTCTCTCCGTGTGCTTCATTTACCTCTGACCAAGTTCCTTGTTAGTCTTTTGTGTCTCTGTCTTATTTTCCTTATGAAAGTCAGCTACTTGAGAAGATCTGATTTTTCCCTGTATCCTCCATGGAAACTGGTGTTGTATATATAGTAGGTACTCAATATATGCTGAACAGATTTCAGACCACTACTATTAATAATGATAAGGGCAATTTCACCTGGGCGTGGGTCACCGCAAACCTCTGCTCTGTGGTGCATTTATGCCTGGCGCTGACTGGGCTGGGCTCTGGGCCTGGGAAGGCCTGCAGTGTCTCTCCCTCAGTGTTACATGGCTCATTTTCTAGCTGGGGATGACTCTGGTCCAGGTTGAAAGGATTCACCCAACAACAGAGCAGTAACAAAGAAAACAGGATCATACCTTAATATTGTCTTCTGGCCAAGAGTTTAGCATGGTTGCAATGTGGCCCTTGTCATGAATGGTGATGAACAGCCCACTAGGAGAAAAAACATGTACACAGAGAGAAATCAGGCAGTCAGACTAGGAACAAAGACCACAGTACTGTTTAACACTGCATCGTTTAGTTTTTCCCAAAGACGTGGTCAAGGCGGGGCCCTGCGCCCAACAGTTTGGAGGGCCCAGCCCTGGCCTTCCTCCAATTTCTCCTCTCCACAAGGCAAGGAGTCCACGGGGCCGAGGGATGTGCCCACCTGGGGCCTATGCTCACCAGAGCCTGCACCCTCCCTTCTTCCTTCTAGACCAGGCACACAGGAACTCAGAATTCTCTGACTGAGGGACCCCAAGGCTGCTTCAAGAAACCATGTCGGCCTCTTCTCTGGGTCCTCCCGTTTCTGAGTATAGACCACACTATGGTGGGCAGAGCCCCAGGCCTGGGGCTGTGACTGGAGCTTGGACATTCGAGTTGTGGTACCAGACACAGGTACAGGAGGCCCCGGGCAGGGGGAACAAGGCTGGGGATGGAAAGAGGGGTGGGCTGCCAGCCAGGAGCCACTTTTCTTTGCAGCACTAGAGCACGTGACTTCTAAATTCAAATGTGGCCTTCCAGACCAGCAGGAAGGTACATCTGTAAAGGCAGGGGTGACGTATTTTACTTAACAGTGTATTCGCTTGATTTTAGAACTTTTATTTATGTTTAGACCTCCGTATGTGGACCTGAGTCTTCTGCCCTGGGATCAGGGGTGTGAGAATATGTATACCTGGAGAATATCTGTGCCACTTCCTTCCTTTCCTTTGTTCCTCCAATGCATCCAGAAGGCTCCTTTTCCTAACGAGGTACTCACTCTGGTTCGCCAATGTGAGGAGGCTGGGGAGGTGTGGAGAGCAGTGTCTCCCACTCTCACTGCCCTCGCTAATTCAGAGAAGACTTCCAAACGGTACTTTACACGGCTTCATGAGATGCTTGCATTTTGGATCCGTTATTTAAATCATGCCCTAGTCAACACTGTAAAGGCCCTTGGCCCTGCTCTTTGGTCTCAGCAGTCTTGTAAAACTCCCAACCCTGGATACACCTACTGTCTGTTTCCTGTGGGCCCCACGCAGGCAGCCAAGGGCAGGCGGAGAAAGCCAGACCACAGGAAAGGCTGACTGGCACCACCACAAATTCTTCACCGGCAACCCACATGCGCTCTCAACAGCCACTCAGTCTTTGTTCTTTTGGTGTTTTTCTGCTCAAGAGTCACTCTTTCCACTCTTTGCAAAGAGTATTTTAAACTTCTCTGTTCTCAAACCTCCAGCGGTCTCACCGTCCCCCAACTCCCCTAGGGACCTTGCCTCTGATGTCACATGAAGCCACGGGATGGCGTCTCTGCCAGCTTCCCACCACCAAGCCTGCAAACTTCTGCATCTGCAGACAGCTCCTTTATTTCTTCCATTCCAATGAATATTATGAAGTCTTATACTTAATGACGCTTCTCTCTCCCCTAGATTTTCCATTAAGTTCCCATCAGCCACAAAATCTCCCCAAGTCTTTATCATCTTAAAGACTTCTGACTTTTGTTAGTGGTAGTCTCTTGAACAGAGTAAACTTTCTGTAGATAGCAATAATAAAACTGCTATTTTTAAAAAATTTTAAAAAATTATTTGAAAGAGAGAGAGCACACAAACCAGGGGAGGGGTAGAGGGAGAGGACAAGTAGACTCCCTGCTGAGGGGAACCCATTGCAGGACTCAATCCCAAGATTCTGAGATCATGATGTGAGCCAAAGTGAGATGCTTAACTGACTGAGCCACTCAGGCACCCAAAACTGTTATTTTTTAAAATTTTATTTTATTTAAATTCAATTAGTTAACATATATTATTAGTTAATTATTTATAATTATTATAAATAATATATCCTCAGATGCATATAACACCCAGTGCTCATTACATCAAGTGCCCTCCTTAATGTCCATCACCCAGTTACCCCATCCCCCACCTCCCCTCCAGCAACCCTCAGTTCGTTTCTTATAGTTAAGGGTCTCTTATGATTTGCCTCCCTCTCTCTTTTTATTTTATTCTTCCCTCCCTTCCCTTATGTTCATCTGTTTAATTTCTTAAATTCCACATGAGTGAAATCATAATTGTCTTTCTCTGATTGACTTATTTCGCTCAGCATAATACCCTCAAGTTCTATCTACGTCATTGCAAATGGCAAGATTTCATTTTTTTAATGGCTGAGTAATATTCCATTGTATAGATATAGCACATCTTCCTTATCCATTCATTTGTAGATGGACATGTGGGCTCTTTCCATTGTTTGGCTATTGTAGACATCACTGCTATAAACATTGGGGTGCAGGTGCCCCTTTGGATCACTATGTTTGTATCCTTTGGGTAAATACCTAGTAGTGCAATTGCTGGGTCATAGGGTAGCTCTATTTTTATTATTTTATTTTATATTTTATATTTTATTTTTATATATTATATATTTTATATTATTTTTTATATATTTTTATTAATTTAATTTTAATTTAATTTAATTTTATTCTTGAGGAACCTTCATACTATTTTCCAGAGTGGCTGCACCAGTTTGCATTCCCAACAGTGTAAGAGGATTCCCCTTTCTCTGCATCCTCTCTGCATCCTGAGTTAGTTTTAGCCATTCTGACTGGTGTGAGGTGGTATCTCATTGTGGTTTTGATTTGTATTCCCCTGATGCCAAGTGATGTTGAACATTTTTTTATGTGTCTGTTGGCCATTTGTATGTCTTCTTTGGAGGAATGTTTGTTCATGTCTTCTGCCCATTTCTTGAGTGGATTTTTGTTGTTTTGGGTGTTGAGTTTGATAGTTCTTTATAGATTTTGGATACTAGCCCTTTATCTGATAAGACATTTGCAAATATCTTCTCCCATTCTGTCGGCTGTCTTTTGGTTTTGTCAACACTTTCCTTTGCTGTGCAAAAGCTTTTACTCTGATGAAGTCCCAATAGTTCATTTTTGCCTTTGTTTCCCTTTCCTTTGGAAACATGTCTAGCAAGAATTTGCTGTGGCCGAGGTCACAGAGGTTGCTGCCTATGATCTCCTCTAGGATTTTGATGGGATTCCTGTCTCACATTTAGGTCTTTCATCCATTTTGAGTCTATTTTTGTGTATGTTGTAAGGAAATGGTCCAGTTTGAATCTTCTGCATGTGGCTGTCCAATTTTGCCAACACCATTTGTTGAAGATACTGTCTTTTTTCCCTTGGACATTCTTCCTGCTTTGTCAAAGATTACTTGACCATAGAGTTAAGGGTCCATTTCTGGGTTCTCTATTCTGTTCCATTGATCTATGTGTCTGTTTTTGTGCCAGTACCATACTGTCTTGATGATGACAGCTTTGTAATAGAGCTGGAAGTCCGGAATTGTGATGCTGCCAGCTTTGCTTTTCTTTTTCAACATTCCTCTGGCTATTCAGGGTCTTTTCTGGTTCCATACAGATTTTAGGATTATTTGTTCCAGCTCTGTGAAAAAAGTTGATGGTGTTCTGATAATGATTGCATTGAATGTGTGGATTGCTCTGTGTAGCATAGACATTTTAACAATATTTGTTCTTCCAATTCATGAGCATGGAACATTTTTCCATTTCTTTGTGTCTTCCTCAATTTCTTTCATAAGTGTTCTATGGTTTTCAGAGTACAGATCCTTTACCTCTTTGGTTAGGTTTATTTCTAGGTATCTTATGGTTTGGGGTGCAATTGTAAATGGGATTGAGCCCTTGATTTCTTTCTTCTGCTTCATTGTTAGTGTATAGAAATGCAACTGACTCCTGTGCTTTGATTTTATATCCTGCCACTTCACTGAATTCCTGTATGAGAACCAGCAATTTTTGGGTGGAGTCTTTTGGGTTTTCCATATAGAGTATCATGTCATGTGCAAAGAGTGAGAGTTTGACTTCTTTGCTGATTCAGATGCCTTTTATTTCTTTTTGTTGTCTGATTGCTGAGGCTAGGATTTCTAGTACTATGCTGAACAACAGTGGTGAGAGTGGACATGCCAGGGGCACCTGGGTGGCTCAGTTGGTTGGGTGACTGCCTTTGGCTCAGGTCATGATTCTGGAGTCCCGGGATCGAGTCCCGCATCGGGCTCCCTGCTCGGCAGGGAGTTTGCTTCTCTCTCTGACCCTCCCCCTCTCATGTGCTCTCTCTCTCAAATAAATAAATAAAATCTTAAAAAAAAAAGAGAGTGGACATGCCTGTTGTGTTCCTGACCTTAGGTGAAAAGCCCTCAGGTTTTCTCCATTGAAAATGATATCTGGGGTCGGCTTTTTGTATATGGCTTTTATGATATTGAGGTATGTTCCCTCTATCCCTACACTGTGGAGAGTTTTAATCAAGAAAGAATGCTGTCATTTGTCAAATGCTTTTTCTGCATCAATTGAGAGGATCGTGTTTATCTCTCTTTTCCTCAGCTTTTTTATTTTCCATCATTTTGTCTTCTTTATCACTGACTCTCTCTTCTGCCTTGTTTATCCCAGCAGTTAGAGCCTTCATTTTTTTATTGCATCTCAGAAATAGCCTTTTTAATTTCGGTTGGATTTTAGTTTGTTTATTTCTCCAGGAAGGGATTCTCTAGTGTCTTCTATGCTTTTTTCAAGGCCACCTAGTATCTTTATAATCATTGTTTTGAATTCTAGTTCTGACATCTTACTTATATCCATATTTATTAGATCCCTGGCTGTGAGTACTGCTTCTTTTTCTCTTTTTCTGGGGTGAGTTCTTCCGTCTTGTCATTATGTCCAGAAAAGAACAGATGAAAGAGGGAATATACTAATATAGCAACAACAACACCAGAAAAATATATACTATACAGGTCAGAAGAGAACAGAAACCAAAAGGAAAAGGAAAAAAAAAAAATAAAAATCAAACAAGTAGAACAGAACAAGAGCAATAAACTGGAGTCTGAGTGTATTTTGGTCTGTTTGTTAGAAGAAACTAGATATCAAAATAGGCAAGAAAGAAATACAATGAAAGGAAGCCAAAAATGAAAAATATAAACTGTAAGTAAAAAATGGAAAATTAA